CTATATTCCAGAATATCAAGGCAGAAAATCCCACAATATTTGCTTTGAACTGGGTTATCTGACAGCCCTTCCACACAGCCCTATATTCCAGAATATCAAGGCAAAAAATCCCACAATATCTGGGTCCACACTGCCATTTATTCCAGCTCAAAGCAGATAATGTGGGATTTTATTCAGTTGTGTGCAACGGGCCTGAGTCCACACCCAGATAATGTGGGATTTTCTGCCTTTTTATTCTGGGATATAGCGCTGTGTGGAAGGGCCCATAGCTTGGTAAGACACCAGCACTCTTCCACAGAGAAGACTAGATACCTTGTCAAACTACAGCTCTCATGAGCATTACTAAGCCATGGCAGTTAAAGTGGTGTTAATTCTACAGTGGAGATACATTCCAAGTTAAACAGGTACATGTACTGAACACTCAGGACAAATATACAAGCACACAGTGTATACAATGAACAAATTCAGTTAATGCTTTCAAATCTACACAGGATGAGAAAATAAGGTACTGCTTTAACATCTTTAGGCATCTAAAGGCTTGTTAAGTTTGACAAAACCTGGGAAGGAAGACTAAGGGCCCTTCCACACAGCCCTACATTCCAGAATATCAAGGCAGGACATCCCACATTATCTGAATTGGACTCAGATAACCCAGAGCAAAGCAGATATTGTGGGATTTTCTGCCTTGATATTCTGGGATATAGGGCTGTGTGGAAGGGCCCTAAGTTCTACTCTTTACAGGCCCTTCCATACAGCCAAATAACAAAGAATATCAAGGCGGATAATCCACAATATCTGAGTTGAACTGAATTATCTGAGTCCACACTGCCATATAATCCAGCTCAATGTGGATTTTATACATCTTGGAGGAAGGGGCCTACATCGTCCCCATTCGTCGTACTTGTGTCCCACTCTTCATCATCCACAATGATGTCCCCAAGTGGACCCACAGAATGGATGGCCTTTCAGTAGTTCATAGCATTGCTTACAGTTTAAAACATTATATTAGGAATAATAACATCATTGGCAAGACAACTCCCCCTTTGCCCTCTGAATTTAGCTGAAATTCTTAATGTATATTGAATGGAAGGAAAAAAAAAACTATGCTGAATAAGAGCCTAGGCCTATCACACTCAATCTGTTCACACAGTAGCCAATGAATTCCTCAGCGGTAGTCCACTAATAGGAGCATAGCACACTTGGTCCCATGTTCCCCAGCATTTGATATCCTGTGCTGATACTAACCCTGAAACTGGAGGTGATATACAACCACCCAGTCTAATAGAATTTGATAGCCTCATCTTCCACAAACGTATCCAGTTCCTTTCTAAAATCCCCCAATGCGACAGGCATTACCACATGAAGAAGTTAAAAAGCCTGGATCTCGTTACAGATCCATGCAGGGTTCTATTGCTCACATCCTCCCATTGTAAGAGCTGCCTGCTTATTTTTATTATCTGATTCCTGTTCTTTAACCTTTATCTTCATAGGGACTTTTCACACAACTGTTCTGATGTAGACCTTTATCTAAAAGCCTTTGGATATCAAAATAAATAACCTCTATGGGATAGGAGCCCCCAGTGGCGCAATGGGTTGAATCTTTGTGCCAGTAAGACTGAAGGCCAGAGGTTCGAATTTGGAGAGAGCAGGGATGAACTCCCTCTGTCAGCTCCAGTTCCCCATGCGGGGACATGAGAGAAGCCCCCCACAAGGATAGTAAAACATCAAACATCAAGGCATCCCCTCGGCATTGTCCTTGCAGATGGCCAACTCTCTCACACCAGAAGCGACTTGCAGTTTCTCAAGTCACTCCTGATAGCCATGTATAAATATGTGAGAGGAAGTCATTGGGAAGAGGGAGCAAGTTTGTTTACTTCTGCCCTGGAGACTAGGACGCGGAACAATGGCTTCAAACTACAAGGAAGGAGATTCCAACTGAACATGAGGAAGAACTTCCTGACTGTGAGAGCAGTTCAACAGTGGAACTCTCTGCCCTGGAGTGTGGTGGAGACTCCTTTGGAAGCTTTTAAACAGAAGCTGGATGGCCATCTGTCGGGGGTGCTTTGAATGTAATTTTCCTACTTCTTGGCAGGGGGTTGGACTGGATGGCCCATGGGGTCTCTTCCAACTCTATGATTCTATGATCCTGACATGGGATCAACTCCATCCAAATGGGGAGAACATGGATAGGAATTAAATATCTTTCTAGATTATATTGGCCCCCTATTTCCAGTAGCCCTAGAAAGCACAGTTAATGTTGAGGAATGTTGGAAACTACAGTTTAGCTACATGTGGGGGACAATTCCCACCCTGGTGTAGAATTCCCCAACAATTATCTAGAGCAGAGTTTCTCAAACTTTGCTCCTCCAGTTGTTTTAGACTTCATCTCCCACAATTCCAAACATCTGATAAGATAGCTGGGATTTCTGGGAGCTGAAGTCCAAATCACCTGGAGGAGCACAGTTTGAGAAATACTGATCTAGAGACACAAATAGTTCCTTCAAAGTATGTTCTAGAGGCATTCTCCCCTGACATTTTGCCTGCATCTATGGCAAGCATCCTCTGAGGATGTTTGCCATAGATACAGGCGAAGTAAGGAGAGAATGCCTCTAGAACATGGCCGTATAGGCCGAAAAAACCTACAACAACCCAGTTCCTTCAAAGATAAGGTAAGGAGCTCATTTCCAGAGCAGACCTGTATCAAATAGTCTTTGGGACACTTGACACATCACTACTTTAAAGCCAAGAGCGGCAGCTGAGCCAGGACACAAAGAGTCTTGGGAAACTGCCACCTTAACTATTTATGAGTTCGGCATCATCATTCTTCTACCTTTGTACTGAAAAATAATCCTATTTTTGTCCTGGAAAATGCACAATAAGCGGGATCATTTCCTAAGTATTTTATTTAATGAGTTCATAGAAAGACATTCCCACAAAACCAGCATTCCAATCAAGTCTACCCAGGGTGTAGCTAGCAGGACATACTGGTTTAGGAATAAGAATGCCAGAAGGCAACATAAGTTAGAGAGATAGCAGAGATCAGTTGGGGCAAGAGACTGGGTTAAGGGCCAAAGAGATAAATGAGATTCTGCATTTTTTAAAAAAAGATTGGAAGGCAGTATGCAACGGGGAACAATAGGAAGCTACTTCGCAAAATCACAAAGCATAGAACTTTAAAACCATCTTAACAGATTAGAGAGATGGGCCAAAACTAACAAAATGAAATTCAACAGGGACAAATGCAAGATATTATACTTAGGCAGGAAAAACGAAATGCAAAGATACAGAATGGGGGACACCTGGCTCGAGAGCAGTACATGTGAAAAAGATCTCGGCGTCCTCGTGGACAACAAGTTAAACATGAGCCAACAATGTCATGCAGCGGCTAAAAAAGCCAATGGGGTTTTGGCCTACATATATAGGAGTCTGGTGTCTAGATCCAGGGAAGTCATTCTACCCCTCTATTCTGCCTTAGTCAGACCACACTTGGAATCACACTGTGTCCAGTTCTGGGCACCCCAATTGAAGAGAAATATTGGCAAGCTGGAATGTGTCCAGAGGAGAGTGACTAAAATGATCAAGTGTCAGGAGAAAATGTCCTATGAGGAACATCTTAAAGAGCTGAGCATGTTTAGCCTGCAGAAGAGAAGACAGAGAGGAGTCATGATGACCATGTATAAATATCCGAGGGGAAGTCAAAGGGAGAAGAGAGCAAGTTTGTTTTCTGCTGCCCTGGAGACTAGGACGCAATGGAACAATGGCTTCAAACTACAGGAAAGGAGACTAGGAAGAACTTCCTGACTGTGAGAGCTGTTCAGCAGTGGAACTCTCTGCCCTGGAGTGTGGTGGAGGATCCTTCTTTGGAGGCTTTTAAACAGAGGCTGGATGGCCATCTGTAAGGGGTGTTTTGAATGCTATTCTCCTGCTTCTTGGCAGGGGGTTGGACTAGATGGTTCACGAGGTCTCCTTCAACTCTTATGATTCTACTATAAAAATATATACAGTATCTTGCTTAAATAGCCTCCCTATGGGCACATTTACACTATCAAATTAATGCAGTTAGACACTACTTTAACTGCCATGGTTCCATGCAATGACATCCTGAGAGATGAATTTTTACAAAGTCTTTAGCCTTCTCTGCCAAAGAGTGCTGGGGCCCTACACAACTACAAATTCCAGGATTCCATAGCATTGAACTACGGCAGGTAAAGTGATGTCAAACTGCATCAAGTCTACAGTATAGATGCACCCTACATATTTATACCATCAGGAAAAGGGCTAATTTTGAACCTTCTCCCTGAAGTTCTAACTGTCCACAAGCATAAAGGTTTTATCAATGTCTTGAAGCCTTGCTTAAAATAAGAAGCAATCCGATCTGGAGCAACAGAGTTTAGGAATACTTTGCTGCCCCCAAACAGTTAGGACTTATGGGTTTTCAGAGCAAATCTACGCTGACCACTTAATGCAGTTTCAAATTGGTATTGAAAAAAGTGGTTTCACTGGTGACACAATGGGCAAACTCTTGTGCCGGCAGTACTGCTGATCAAAAGGTCAGTGGTTTGAATCCAGGGAGCAGGGTGAGCTCCCATCTGTCAGCCCCAGCTTCCCATGCGGGGACATGAGAGAAGCCTCCCACAGGATGGTAAAACATCTGGGCATCCCCTGGACAACATCCTTGCAGATGGCCAATTTTCTCACATCAGAAGCAACTTGCAGTTTCTCAAGTCGCTCCTGACACACACACACACACACACAAACCCAAAAACAAAACACACTGCGGATGATTACATAGGAAATTCTGGAACCAGTTTTGAGGCCTGGCTGATACAAACTACAGAACACTCATGCCCATTAAGAGACTCCCTTTGCATGCTTTTGTGGGTGTTTGTTGTCTGGCCGCCACGGTTGGAACCTAGCTTTGAACTGCATCAAATAGTCAGTGTACTGCATCAAATAGTCAGGGACCTAAGAAAGAGTTATCCAAGAAGCACCCCTCTTACCTGTTTCACTCGAGATGGAAATCCCCAGGACCAGGCACTTGATTGCAGCTGCCCATTTCTCTGCGATGTGAAGGTTGTCCTCATAGTGGTCGGAGCTGTCCACCTGAAAGGTCTTCGCCATGCGCTGCCGGGCCCGGCCTGAGCCCACCGCCACCTTCTTTTTCTTCAGGGGATAAGAGTAGACACAGAAGAAGGCCGAGCTGTTTGCCACGGTGTGGCTGCGCATGGTGTGGCATCCCACCACGTCTACCAACCGCACCACGGTCCGGTGGTCTGTGTCAGGCTTGGGCACCAGGCGCTGAATGTGCAACTCCGTCCGTGTGAGGCTCAGGGCATAACGCATCCCTTTGGGAGGATAGGCCCCAAATTCCCCGTGGAGGAGAGTCTCGGAGCCTTCCCCACATGCCCCCAGAAGTAAGTTCATCTCGCCTCGGAGCCCCAGCTTTGCGGTTTTGCTTTCTACTTGCTTACAAAGCCTGGCAAAAAGCCGGTTTCTAAAACCTAACTGTTTCCCCTTTCACCCTCTTCCCCCAGAACGCTGGATTTGAAGAACAGGATTTAAGATCTTTTCACTTCCACATAGTTTCCTTAATCTTCTGAAAGGCCGGCAAGGCACTTTAACCGAGAGAACTTCATCCAAAGCACAAAGTCCTCAGCGTTTTCCCAGAGTCTTCTCTTCCTTCATTGAACACTAATCTTTGTATTGTTAGGTTCAAATGGAAAAATACACAGCTTTTTCCCCCACCAGCAACTTTCCTTTTTCACAAAATAAGTACAGGATCTATCAAGATCAGGCCAAAGGAATGAACACTGACCTGTCTGAACGAGACTACAGCTTTGGAACAAGTCAAGAAAACAAGAGAAAGGAAAAGGGGAGGGGGAAAAGAGAAGATAAAAATCCAACACAGGTCAAATATCTTGAAAGCGACTCACAAACAGCCGCTTCCTGAGATGCAGAGCCCGATAATGTGGTATTCTCATCAGAATAATCTCACCTTCGGGCAAGGAGTTTAAACATTTACCGAGGAAGTTGTACAGATTATACGTTTTCTATCAGAGCGGATGACTCACAGAAGAAACTCGGTTCGTAATCCCTCCCATCTTTTCTAGACATCTTTTCAAAGGGATTATTGCCCTGAAATGTAGGAGTCAGGGAAACAAAAACAAACAAAAGTTCAACAAGGGGACAAAAATGCGGAGGAAGGAGGTGATGCTGGAGAAAGTGTGGAACTATTACTTGGGATGCAATAATAATTTGAGATCTGGTGCATTGAGTACATAGGTCCTATGCACCAGTTATGCAAATAAATCAAATTTTAACATATTCTGGCAGCGTCTTGCCAGGCTTCCAACACATTTAGGGTTTGAGGTTTCGTCCCAATTTTTCATCAGCATAAATAACATTGCTATTCCTTTTAAAGGGGGATAGGAAAAATATTCTTAAATCATTTTCATAGAAGAAATTTAGAGGGATGGAGAAAGCTTTTTGTAATTGTTCTAACATTTAATTCAGATGTATTTAGCAGGGGTTAAATTAATTTACATCCAAATAAAGATGGGGAGGACTTTTTAAGTTGCCCTAAAATTTAATGCAGATCCAAGGGGATCATTAGCAATGCCCCCCAAATAAATGACCCAACTCAACACACACAAACTCCCCCCAAAACCAGGCACCTTCATCCAAATAACAGAAAACCTCATAGAATTGCTTACAATCTCTAGGATGGAAAAGAAGAGAGGTATAAAAGAATGACTCTGTATGGCAGCTCCACACTTGGAAACCCAGCAATCTCTTGCATTCCTCCTTCCTTTTCTACCCCATGCCTTCGTTCCTCCTCCTCCCCTCCAGTTGCTTTTCTCGTTCTCTTCTATCTTAGCTCCACAATCTCCCTCCCTCTCTCTCAAGCTAATCCAGGAAGTGTTCTATTTTCTACCTGGGGAGGAAAGTGAAGGAATCAAAGGGGGCGGGGTCAGGTTCCTCTTAGCCAATCAGACAGCAGACAACTTCCAAGCTCTGCCAATCAGCAACGTCCTTCCCTTCCCACCATAGAAACAAAGGCTGGGCATTGGCGGGAGGGACGTCCATGTTTGGTGAGGGCAAAGATGTCGAGAAGCAAGCTATGCGGCCATTTTACTTAAGGGCACACAAAAAAGCGAAAGCTTCCCCAATAACAATATTATTATAGTCTTAACTGAGACTGTTCTAATGCAACAAATTTCTTACTTCGAATAAGTTAGCTTTTCCAGTGCCTTTACTTTTGGGAAGGTGAAAGGAAGCGAAGTGAGGGCAAGGTCAAACTAGAGAAAGGCTTCACGCTCCCTCCCTGAGGAGAGTCGGCCATATTTACTCAGTGAAAGGACTCTAAATCCTGTCAGAATTTACGGAGAAATGAAGGCGCAGCCGCCATTTTGGACTCGGGCAATTTTCTATTCTCTTCAACGAATTGCTTGGGCGGCCATCTTAAGTGAGGGACACGGGAAACCTCGATAGGCCGTGCGCAATGGGAGCCATATTGAGTATGGGGAAAGCGTGGAAATTGAGGCTGGTTTCCCTGAAGGGGGCAGCCATCTTTGTTATGGGACCGCGGCTGTTGCCATGGCAACCGAAAGGGCCCTGCACGAGGAGGAAGCACAACTAGATTTCTCGTTACTATCCAGCTCTTGTTTACTTCCAAGTAATTTATGGACAAGCTAATTAAAACCTTACACGGGATTTCTTGGCAAATTTAGTTCAGAGGGTCTTGGCCTTCCTCTGAGGCTGAGAGAATGTGACTTCCCCAAAATCACATCACATGAATTGTAAATCTGGATTTTGTATGGCAAAGGATTTGCCATACAAAAGGATTTCCTTAGGCAATGAATAATTAGGCCCATATCTACACTGCCATATAATCCAGTTTCTGAACTGGATTATATAGCAATGTAGACACACATAATCCAATTCAAAGCAGATGATCTGGATTCAGAAACTGGATTATTATGGCAGTGGAAATCTAGCTTCAGGCCTTATCTGGATTGCCATACCAAATCCAGATTATGTCAGTGTGGACACGCATAATCCGGTTCAAAGCACAATCCGATTAAAAGCAGATAATCTGGATTCAGAAACCGGATTATTATGGCAGTGGAAATCTAACCTCAGGCCTTATCTGCATTGCCATACAAAATCCATGTCAGTGTGGACACACATAATCTGATTCAAAGCACATAATCTGGATTATTATGGCAGTGGAAATCTAGCCTCAGGCCTTATCTGGATTGCCATACAAAATCCAGATTATGTCAGTGTGGACACACATAATCCGGTTCAAAGCAGATGATCTGGATTCAGAAACTGGATTATTATCACAGTGGAAATCTAACCTCAGGCCTTATCTGGATTGCCATACAAAATCCAGATTATGTCAGTGTGGACACACATAATCCGGTTCAAAACAGATAATCTGGATTCAGAAACTGGATTATTATGGCAGTGGAAATCTAACCTCAGGCCTTATCTGGATTTCCATACAAAATCCAGATTATGTCAGTGTGGACACACAGAATCCAATCCAGTTCAAAGCAGATGATCTGGATTCAGAAACTGGATTATTATGGCAGTGGAAATCTAGCCTCAGGTCTTATCTAGACTGCCATACAAAATACAGATTATCTGCTTTGAACTGGATCAAATCACAGTGTAGATACATATAATCCGGTTCAAAGCAGATAATGTGGATTATTTTATAATCTGGATTATATAGCAGTGCAAAAGGGCCCTCGGACATACTTTTGCCAGTTCCTTCCTCTGAAATGTAGCCTACAGCACCTGGTTTCCATTGGCGGTCTCCCATTCACAGATTAGCCAAGGCTGGCCCTGCTTAGCTGCCAAGACTAGACTGCATCCAGTGCCTTGAGGGTATTTATATCTGATTATACACGGTTTAAGTCGCCATTAGGCTGAGAATTGCGGTATATAAGCGAAGTAAATAAATAAAAATAATAATAATAATTAAGTAGCAATGGTTTGACCACCTAACACAAAAATATAATTTTTAAAAAATGTAAGTGATTACATCATTATTGTGACATCTATTCTTCAAAATATGTATTTGTTTTATTTACAACATTTATATGCCGCCATTCTCACCCCGAAGGCGACTCACAGCGGCTTACAAGGTATATATACATACAATATATTATATTTTTAGCATAGTATAATATCAGTATTAAATACAACTATAGTGTACTATACAATTATATTGTAAAATTATTAGTAATATTACTTGTAATATAAATATATAATGATAATATCAGATTATTATTAGTAGTATTATATTGCATTACATTATAATATTATAAAATAGAGTTGTTATTATTATTATTAGTAATAATGCAGTTATATTTATTATTCAAAATGTATTAGACTTCAAATATTAATTATAACTGCTATCACTGGCCTGGGCAAACTTGGCCCCTCCAGGTGTTTTGGACTCCAACTCCCACTATTCCTAACAGTCTCAGGCCCCTTCCTTTTCTCCCTCAGCTGCTTAGCGGCTGAGGGGTAAAAGGAAGGGGCCTGAGGCTGATAGGAATTGTGGGAGTTGGAGTCCAAAATACCCGGAGGGGCCAAGTTTGCCGGGTGTGTGCTATCAGCTATCAAAGAGTATATAGAGTATGTATTTTTGGGTACACAGTGGAGAAAGCCATCAAGATAATTCCCAGATAATTCACATTTCTCTGCACATAATGGGAAATGTTATGACAATCTGTCTTGGGATGCACTTACACTGTAGAATTAATGCAATTTTACACTGCTTTAACTGCCATGGCTCAATTCTATAGGACCCAGTTGTAGTTTGGTGAAGTGCCAGCACTCTTTGGCAGAGAAGCCTAGACACCTTGTAAAACTACAAATCCCAGGATTACAAAACATAGAGAAAAGGTAGTGGAAAACTGCATTAATTCTACAGTGACAATGCACCTTTGTTTTCACTTTTTAAAAAATCACATAATGTCCCTCTGAAACATCATCAGGCCTCTGTAGGCTTCTCCATAGCTGTCTACAAGTCCATCAGATGTCACGTTAATTGCCATAGTTCAATGCTATGGAATAATGGGATTTGTAATGTGTTGTTGAAAGCTTTCATGGCTGGAATCACAGGGTTGCTGTAAGTTTTTTGGGCTGTATGGCCATGTTCCGGAAGCATTCTCTCCTGCAGGCATCCTCAGAGGTTGCGAAGTCCTCAGAGGATGTGGGATTTGTAGTTTCACAAGGTTTTTATTCCTCTTTCCCAAAGAATGCTTGTGGCTGACTAAACTACAGTTTCCAATGTTGCATAGCATTGACCTATGGCTGATAAAAGTGGTGTCTGGTTGCATTAATTCTATATAGAATACTAGCTGTCCCCTGCCACACATTGCTGTGGCCCAGTCTGTGTATATGTGCTTTGTGTGTTTATATATGTATATATATGTGTGTGTGTGTGTTTGTGTTTTTGCGCATGCATTGTATTTTTAATTTTTTGGCTTTTTAAGTCTCTTCCACTGTGTTTTCATGAGTGATGGTCACTCGTTGGGCTCATAGGTGTATTGTGTCCAAATTTGGTGTCAATTCGTCCAGTGTTATTTGAGTTATGTTAATCCCACAAACGAACAGGCAGTATACCACCCCCTGCTATGTCAACTCCACTGGCTGCTGGCCATTTCCGAGCACAATTCAAAGTGCTAGTCCTGGTCTATAAAGCCCTATATGGCTCTGGCCCAGCTTACTTGTCGGAATGTATCTCCCTCTACGTTCCCTCTCGTAGTTTAAAATCCTCCGGGAAGGCCCTGCTCTCGGTCCCACCAGCCTCGCAAATCCGTCTAGTGGGGATGAGGGACAGTGCCTTCTCGGTGGTGACCCCGCTTGTGGAACTCGCTCCCCAGCGAGATTAGATCGGCATCCTCCTTTCTTTCCTTTAGGAAAAAATTGAAATCGTGACTTTGGAACCAGGCCTTTTGCTAAGCAAGCATAACGGCACTTTTGGACATTGAATTGGACCATATGATTGTTTTAATAATGGAAACGGCTATATGATTGTATAACTAAGGTTATTGTTTCTAATCTATTGTGTATTTATGGTTTTAAATTGTTGTTTACTGTGATATTTGCGTCATCGAATTGTTACCAGTGTTAGCCGCTTTGAGTCCCCCCTCGGGGGTTGAGAAGGGCAGGGTAAAAATGTTGTAAATAAATAAATAATAAATAAACATTGCATTTTTATTTATATAGAAGATGATGATCTAATATTACTTCGAACCTTGGGTTGCATCTACACTGTGGACTCAATGCAGTTTGGAATCACTTTAACAGCCATGTATTAATGTAGTTTTACAAGATCTTTGTAGCCTTCTCTGTCAAAGAGCACTGGTGCCTCAGTAAACTACAACTCCACAGTATAGAACCATGGCAGTGAAAGAAGTGTCAAGGTCCATTCATTCTATAGTGAAAATAACCAGGGACAGAGAGTGAAATCATACAATTCCGGTCCTCCTTCGACCTCAGAATCCTCAGCGACAAGGCCACGCCTCTTCCGCCGCCTCCTTCCCATCGTTCTTTGCGCGGCCGCGGCCACTTCCTTTCTTTTCCGGGCGCTGCCGACGCCGCCATGGTGAGTCCGGAGACTGAGAGGAAGGGAGCCTTGAATCCTATCCCATCCTCCGCGGAGAGGCCTCGGGCACACCGTTTAGTGTGGCGGCTACGTGGGGAAGGGCCCAGAGCTTCCGGGGGGCGTAGTATTGGCGGTTTATACCGAGGTTCGGGAGGCATGAGTAGGCCGTCGTGGAAGAGTTGGCATGATAGCAATTTAGGCCTAGGAGAGAGACAGTAGTTTAGGCCTAGTAGGAGCCTGAAGTGGGACAGAGAAAGGGTATAGCTACACCAGGCATGGGCCAACTTGGCGCGGCTGAGGGGGGAAAGGAAGAGGCCTGAGGCCAGGAATTGTGGGAGTTGAAAGTCCAAAACACACGGAGGGCCCAAGTTGGCCCATGACTGATACACACTGTAGAATTAATGCAGTGCAACTGCCATGGCTGAATTCTATGGAATCCTGGGAGTTGTAGTTTGGTGAAGTGCCAGCATTCCTTGGCCTACCTCATTCCATAACATTAAGCCATGGAAGTTAAAGTGATTTCAAACTGCATTAAGTCTACAATATAGATGCACCCGAAGGTTCCAAGTAACACTTAAATCAGAGAAGGCTAAGGGCCTTGTTAAACTACAGCTTGAGTGATTCTTGGTGTGAAACTGCATTAATTGTACAGTATAGATGCGCCCAGAACTGTTTTATTGTCATAGAGGTGCTAAAATGCTACTCTTTGCAGAACATTAAGTATATCTTAATAAAACAGAATTAATTCAACTCCATGGTGCTAATTTCTATGAGCATTAACTACATACATTCCAGCATCGCATAGATGTAAACTTAGTGACATGTGGCTCAAACAACATCAGGATTTGGTTAGTATATCTTAATAAAGCAGAATTAATTCAACTTTTCAGCTTCAGTGCTAATTTTTATGAGCGTTAACTATATACACTCCAGCATCTCATAGATGAAAACTTAGTGACACGTGGCTCAAACAACATCAGAATTTCGTTCAAACCATGTACAAAGATAACAAGAGGGCAAATGTTCTGAATGAGGGGAAAAAAAGAAGCAAAGCTACTGTTTTATTCTCTGAAACTCTGGAGTTTATGTACTGTGTTTAGAAAGTTGGCCAGACAGCTGACTGGGAGGGCAAAGAATGCACTTACAATCTAGAATCTGTGCAGTTTGATACTATTTTAACCATAGCCTGGTGCTGTGAAATCCCATGAGTCAATTTGGTGAGATCTTATTATTCAAGGCCTTGTATTCAAGGCCTTGTAGAACTACACAGTTCAAGGCCTTGTAGAACTACACAGTTCTCATGATTCTATAGCATTGAGCCACGGCAGTGGTGTCAAACTGTATTAAGTCTACAGTGTGTAGAAGGGGTCCTCAAACTTTTTAAACAGAGGGCAAAGTCCTAGTCCCTCAAACTGTTGGAGGGCCGGATTATAATTTGAAAAAAACATGAATTCCTATGCACACTGTACATATCTTATTTGTTTTAAGTGCAAAAGCCCCTAAAAAACAATACAATAGTTAAAATGAACAATTTTAACAAATATAAACTTATTAGTATTTCAATGGGAAGTGTGGGCCTGCTTTTGGCTGATGTGATAGGGTTGTTGTTGTTGTGTGTTTTCAAGTCGTTTCAGACTTAGGTTGACCCTGAGTGAGGGCCGGATAAATGACCTTGGAGGGCCGCATCCGGCCCTCGGGCCTTAGTTTGAGTACCTCTGGTGTAGAGCATACTGAGTCTTCTACAAAGTTCCCTCTCAGACTGGATCTACACACCCATATAGCAGTTTCTGAATCTAGATTAATTGCTTTGAATTGGTTATATGAGTCTATACTGCCATGTAATCTGGATTCAAAACTGGTTTATATGGCAGTGTAGATGGGGCTTCAGTGTCAGATTCTATAATTGGTTCAGGCCACAATGGTTCTGCTTTGAGCAGTAGAGTGATTGGCATGTGCTTTTCGGAAAGTATAATTGGGATGCAGTGTACTTGTGGGCAAAGACTGGCAATTTGAAATAAGATGCATGAATTTGGATACTGTTAATTAAATGGCAGAAAGCTCCTCCCCAGTAACATGAAGTAGGATAGAAAGCACGTTACACAAGGAGATAATAACTAACCTGTTTTCAAAGTCAGAATATTTCTTGTAGTCCACTACTGTACATATATTATGTTTTCCTGTGTTTGGCATACTTTTCAACTAGTTTATAGTGACACCACTGTTATACAACATGCACCATCTATGTTTTTATTGTTTTCCCAATCCCTCAATGGGAGATGTCATTATTTGGCCCAGTCTGGCGTTTGTGAGTAAAATTGAGATGAAAAAAATTAATGCATTTTTATTTATAAGTCAGCCACATCATCATCATCATCATTATTATTATTATTGGAAGTTGGCAGCCTGTAACATTGTCTGTGTGTCTTGGGAAAGACTTGAGCTTGGAAAAGTTGCTGGTTTCAGCATTCTGAGAATTTTTTTAAAATGTAGCACATTTTATATAAAATACAAAATATAATTAGTGTATGAAAACTCGGAATGCAAGAAAAAAGTACACACACATAGAAAGAAGTAGTCTCAAACCACCAGAGGCTTCATAGATCAAAACCATCACTTTGACATAAATCTGGAAGCAGATTGGAAACCAGTGGAGGTGATACAACATGGTTGCAAAATAACAGTAATGTCCATGTCCAGTCAATACTCTTGTATTTTGATCTTTCTGGCTATGTTTAAAAATAGCCTCCTGAAAAGCTGTCCCTTTTCCTTTTTACAAAGGTTTCTTAACTGGCACGGGGTCTTCATGCAGATGCAATGCTTGAGTTACCTAGCTATATAAAAATACCATATATACTCGAATATAAGCCAAGGCACCTAATTTTACCTCCAAAAACTGGGAAAACCGATTGACTCAAGTATAAGCCAAGGGTGGGAAATGGAGCAGTTACTGGTCAATTTCAAAATAAACATAGATACCAATACAATTACATTAATTGAGGAATCAGTAGGTTAAATGTTTTTTAATATTTACATAAAATTGTAATATAAGATAAGACTGTCCAACTCTGATTAAACCATTATTCTAAACCTTTTCAATGTAAATGTGCTCACGTATCCTTCCAATAATAATAGAATCAAATAATAAATATAATAACAATAATAAAGTAAAATAATAAATGTAATAATAGAGTAAAATGATAAATATAGTAATAATATATAAAGTAAAATAATAAATGTAATCAAAATAAGAATAACAGAGAAATTAATAAATAATCTTGACGAGTATAAGCTGAGGGGAATTTTTTTCAGCCTAAAAAAAAGGGCTGAAAAATTAGTCTTATACTCGAGTATATACAGTGACTGTAGAAAGTCCATTATTTAGTATACAGTTCATATTTGCCTGATATGTTCCCATGAGTTTGAGTCCCCGGTGGTGCAAATGGGTCAAACCCTTTTACTGGCAGGACTGCTAACTGAAAGGTCAGCGGTTTGAATCTGTGGAGCGTGGTGAACCCCCTTCTGTCAGCTTCAGCTTCTCATGCGGGGACATGAGAGAATCTTCCCACAGAATGGTAAAACATCTGGGTGTCTCCTGGGCAATGTCTTTGCAGACAGTCAATTCTCTCACACTAGAAGCGGCTTGCAGTTTCTCAAGTTGCTCCTGACACTTAAAAAAGAGAGAGAGCAAGAGAGTTTTAATCCTTCTCACTGCTTTGTTGCCAGGGAGTCGACATTCGTCACAACAAGGACCGGAAGGTTCGGCGTAAGGAGCCCAAGAGCCAAGATATTTACCTTCGTCTCCTGGTCAAGGTGAGAAGTGGGTTGATCAAAGGTCTGGGGTTTCCAGGGATAGTAAAGAGCCAGAATTTATGGGAAGGCACCCTTCCCCTGCCATCTGCTGGATTTAATTGTGTGATGGGATTCTGGAATCCGTGGTAACTTAAAATAAAGACAAAGTCATTTATCTACCTAAAGGGAGGTTTGACTTGCCAATGGTGTGTGGGTAAAATGCAGAATGGCAAGCTGAATTTGCACTAGTATCTGTGGTCCTGTGTCTTTGGAAATGTAATGGCATATCATGTCCATAATGTGGTGATGCCAAGTCCATAAGAACTAATGGTTTCTAATTATCATGTACTAGCGAGGCAACACCTGGTATGCTAAGGTCAGAATCGGTATAAAAATCCTTAGGCAGGGAACTGTGCTTCTCGGAAGTTACTTAAATGCAGTCACCAGGGAAGGCAATCATTCTGAAGGCGTACACACACTGTCCTCTCATTTTAGGGTTGGTATGGAAGGAGCCAATTGACTTTTGCTCCTGGTGAACTCAAGGCTATTATCTTTTTGCATAATTTTTGGGATACAACATAATTATGTCAACATATATTTACAGTGTTCTAAAAGTGTATAGAATCTCAACCAGCGTCTGGTTCTGTACTCTGTGTTTTTGGAAATACATTTACAAACAAGCATGTGTGGAGAAGGGAAAACAGAATGGCACAAGGAGTAACTTTGAGAATAGTATAGGGAGCTGGTTGGGTCTAGTGTGGAGAAGTGGGAACATGGTTTCTTGAAATGTTGATAAAAGACTGTGATCTGGAAGGTGAACCCAAAATCATGTTGTTTGTTCCTCCAGAAGGTAGTTCTAGAGCTGGTATGGGCAAACTTTGGCCCTCCAGGTGTTTCCACAATTCCTAACAGTTTCAGGACCTCCTTTTCCCCTCAGCTGCTTAAGGCCTGAGTTGAAGTCCAAAACACCTGGAGGGCCAAAATTTGCCCATACCTGCTCCAGAGGTAGTGGCCGGAAATCACGAGAGATCATTTTAGCTGAACATTGGGAGAAACCTCTGTTTGAAAATGAGAGAAATTGCATTAGGAAATGGTGGTCACTGCTTTACTGTAGATCGGTGAGTTTGTGGAAGTTTCACCTCCCAAACATCCGGAAAACCACATGGATCTTAAAATTTGAATATTTCTCCTTTAAGAAGACCTTCAGTGCCTCTTCTGTCTCAGATGTTTTTTTGATTCTAAAGAATCAGAGACCAGGTCTACTTTGAGGGGGAAATATGAATGGATTGTATTTGGAGGTGGTTATTATAATGGAAGCTGGTTTGTGGTCTCAATCTTGGAGTAGCAGCAGTCCATTGGCTGTAATGAGGAATGAAAGAACTTAACAAGAGTTGGGAATACACTCTGAACCCATTTGCTATCTCCTCAGCTCTACAGATTTCTTGCTCGACGGACCAATGCCAAGTTCAACAAAGTGATACTCAAGCGACTGTTCATGAGCCGCACCAACCGGCCTCCACTGTCGGTGTCCCGCTTGGTAAGTGGAGATTCTCCCCACACTCCCTTTCTTGATTCCTCCCCAGCGCCACAAATGCCCACCTATTAATCATCATCCTGAGACTCTGGTGGCAAGTGTTCTTAAGCTGCATCATTATATGACTTCTCCTGTCCCAAATGATGGACTGAACAGAACCACCCTGATCTGACTTTGCTGGCAGTGCGGCAAGATGTGGAAGGAAAGGAATAGGACTTTGTGCCTCTATGACTCATATTCTTCCCCAAGAGAAGAAGCAACAGTAATACACCCTTTACTAAAAGCAATGGGTGGTTCCGGTATTATAGACTCTGAACCTAGTGAGACACAGAACTTTCATGTGACATTGTGGAAATGGATAGGGACAACATATCCACACTGCTTCTTTTCTAGTCAGCAGACAACCAGTTTGTATGCAAAAATATGCTTGCTTTTAATAATCAAAACTAATTTTATTATTAGTTCAATCACAATAATTCAAACTCCTCTTTCTCCCCTTCCAGATCCGGAAGATGAAGCTCCCAGGGCGGGAAAATAAAACCGCTGTTGTGGTGGGAACAGTGACAGATGACGTCCGCATCCAGGAGATCCCCAAACTGAAGGTAGTCCAGCTGCTATTATCAAAGTTATCCAGATGGAAAAGGGTTGGAGGTCAACAGGCAGAGAGCAAGGAGGGGGCTATTGGGGATTTGTAATTAGTGTCAGTGTGATAAGTTCAAGAATTCATGACAGGTTGCATATGGGTGCGAGGCATTTGTAGTATTTGTATGCCAGTTGGATTGTGTATAATACATTTGATTAATAAATATTAAGTAGTAATCAGTTGCACAGTGGGTGGCACTTAATCACAGATTAAAAATTAGAATGCCACCTGTTTGGTTTTTTTAAACTATAACATTTAGGAAGCTGACAAAAATTGCACTTGACACTTTCTGAAAAGGAAAAAAAGCTCAGTTGTTTTAGATGATGTTATCTAACAACATATTCGAAGGCACGTTTTCTCTTTCATTGTTTTGCATCTATAATACTATGAAATTGTTTCAAATATGAACTACCTGATGGATCATGAGGTACCTTTATTAGTTATAATTTTGGATTAAACAGTTAATTAATTGCTACATGCTACACATAATAATTAAAGGTTAAATCCAAATAAAACTGGATTTTTAAAATACTGACTGGCAGATTTGTGGGAATTGATGACCTGAAACCTGTTTTCTTTTGCCTCCAAGATTTGCGCCCTTAGAGTGACAAAGGGTGCTCGTACCCGAATCCTAAAATCTGGAGGACAGATCATGACTTTTGACCAGTTAGCTATGGCTGCCCCAAAAGGCCAGGGAACAGTATTGCTTTCTGGTGAGTCGAAAGAAATATGTTACTTTCAAACCATTGGTGCTTTCTTTGATCTTCATTGACTCCCAATATTTCAATGTGTCTGAAGTGTCTCTTTTGGCTTTCCCTTCTACAGGTCCCAGGAAAGCCCGGGAAGTCTACCGGCATTTTGGCAAGGCTCCTGGCACCCCGCACAGCCATACTAAGTGAGTGCCACCAATACTCTTCCTCCTTTCCTACTTGTTCTTTCACTTTTACTAGTATTTGGTGAATCCAAAGGTTGATAACTGTGGAGCAAGTTGCTTTTTTGATTGCAGCTCCCAGAATCCTCTGTTGGCTATGCTGGCTATGGCTGTTGGGAGTTATAAATAAAAAAAAAAAATCATAGAGTTGTGGTTACTTAGAATCATAGAGTTGAAAGAGACCACAAGGGCCATTCAGTCCAACCCCATTCTGCCATGCAGGAAAAGCACAATCAAAGCACCCAAGACAGATGTTTATCCAACCTTTGTTTAAAATCCTCATGAGGCAGAAAGTTCCCCTATTGAACAGTCCTCACTGTCAGGAAGTTTCTCCCAATGATCAGGTGGAATCTTCTTTCCTGTAATTTGAACCCATTGCTTCAGCTTAAAGATACGCAATATTAAAAAATAATGTCACCTTTCAAAAAAATGTAAATTGTGTTTTCACTTTTATCAAGTCTTCTATCTGAGCTCTGGTATAATCTGCTTTTCCATCTATATATTGGGCTTACCTGTGGTACTTCCCTTCCTTATCCTAATTTTCTCTTGTATGTTCTCCCAAGCAACTCTCATAGTATTGTACTACCTCCTGTAACTATTGTGGTCATGTAGTCCATTAAGCCAACCTATGAACTATGAAGATGTGCAAACAGCACTTTTAAGGCCCCTAATGCCCCATTGAATTTGAAAGGGGCATTCTAGACAATTCTCTGTTCAGAACATAGAAACTTGCATCTGCTGTTATGCCATCCTGAATCCTCTGGGGATCCTCTGGGGATCCTAAGAACTACTGAGAGAAAGAGTTAATGATTTTACGCTCAAATACGTCCCTATAGAAAGTAATGCTTGTCATTGATGAGCATTTCCATTCCTTGAACAGTGAAGTGGAAAGCTGGAACCAATTAGAGCCTTCGTATAGGAGATACGGAGTGTTTGGTGCAGGTGCTGAAGTTTTATTCCAAAGGACTTGAGTGTCATGCAGATTTTCTTAATTGAGGCCTAAATGTCTTGAAGGCACTACACATTTACAGTGCCGTTCTTCAACAAACTTTAGCATGCAATTACTTGTTCTTGAAATAGAAGCCAGGAACCTTTTTTGTTGCTTGAAAAAGGGCCAAGTACTGCTTCTTCCAGTTCCCTGGGAGTAAGCTTGAACTCTTTTAAGACTTCTAAGTATTTATAGGATCAGGCTTGGAGGAAATACTTTACTTGGCACAATTTGAAAAGATTCCTGCCTGAAATATTTATTATTATGTTTATTTAATCCCATAGACCGGCTATTGATCAGTGTTAAACTGGATCAGCCGGTGTCTAAACCTGATATGAGGCAGCTCACTGCTTGTGTGCATTTCCTCTTGGTGTTTATACTACACCATCTCTTAACCATTTATTTCTAAGCTCTTCCAAAGTAAATTCTTCCATCTTCTTTGGAAAGTTGAAATTTGACCCTGTGGCACTTTTTCACAACTATTTTTTTTCATTTGTTTATATGAGAAAGGCATTGAGCTGGTTAACTCATTGTGAAAGGCTTGAACATAAAAATTACATAGTATATGGAACAGAAACTTTTGCAAATTCTGTCACAGGAAGAATCAGAATAGTATAAAATTATGGTCATGGACACAATTTGCATCTTCTGATCTCTAGGAATGGGGAGCTGGATTTTGGCTTAAATGCATTTCTGGAGTATTTTCCAAAATTTATTTTGAAAACTACTCAGGCGGTATGAAGTGGAAATTTGGAAAGAGTATGCCATGGGAGTTCTCACTCCCGAGAAATGGTAAAGGACCAGAGGGCCCTTCCACACAGCCACATAACTCATAATATTAAGGCAGAATAACCCACAATATCTGCTTTGAACTGGAATATCTGAGGCCCCTTTCCACACAGCTGTATAAAATCTACATTATATGGCAGTTTGGACTCAGATAACCCAGTTAAAAGCAGATGTTTTGGATTATTTGCCTTGGTATTCTGGATTAGATGGATATGTGGAAGGGCCCTGAGTCCACACGGACATATATCCCAGTTCAAAGCAGCTGTGTGGAAGGGGCCAGAGTTAGGGGAGCAATTACTTTGGACCTAAATAAAAGGTAGGTTGAGGAGAGACATTGGGAGGAAGACCATCCTCAGATTCAGTGTATCTTCTGCATTCCAGGGCTGTTGGGTATATATCTCTTTCCCTCAATGATCTGTCTGCTGTGTAATAATGCACTTCTGTTTATCCCACTGACAGCTCTTCCATTTTTCACTTTCTAGGCCATACGTCCGATCCAAGGGCCGTAAGTTTGAACGGGCTCGAGGTCGCCGTGCCAGTCGAGGCTACAAAAACTAGATTGGTTACAAAATATTTGAGAGCTCAGATGTATGGGATTAAAGTTACCATTCTGAATATAAATAAACACCATGACACTGTGTTCTTTGCTCAGCAATCCAGTGGTGGGAAGGCCTGCTGTTTACCAACAATGCATGTTTTGCTTAAGTAACCTCCTTCCCAGATATGGGTTCTGACTTTCCACACCAGGGAAAGGATTTTGGAAATCGCAGTTCATTTCCGAGCACAAGGTAGCACCAGGCAGAGAAGCAGCTCAGATTAATGTGAGGATACACTTGTTAAAATTGGAGGCTAAATTTTAACAGGTACATTTGGGGCATTAAACCTAAAGGGTTTGTGGAAATAAAAGCAAAGATCAAGTATGTTAATTTGGAAAAGAAGTGATAGCTAGAAATGTAAAATGTTAGGGGATTTTTTTGTTTCCTGTGGGAATTGTACCATTTGACAGGTTTAAATTTCAAATGATTCTAAAGTTTGAGAGAAGGTTTTATCAGGAACTGGTAACTTAGTCTTTTAGTTAAGTACTAATCTGGAAGCCATAGATTAGCTGAAACTACACATAAACATGCTTTTGGAGTCATGTGTAAAAGAATGGGACACTGCCTTTGCACTGTCCAGCACAGTGGCCCTTGATGCCTGCTGGGGTTTGGTTTCAGTGCACTACCATCCACATGGATACTAAAATCTGGTTGCTCAAATCCCATTATATATAGTGGGATAATAAAATGACATCTCTTATATAACAGGACAAAACCATTTTGTTTTTTAGAATTTTTAAAAATAAAAATCTAGCTGTGGATGGTTGAATCTATGGGTACAGAATCCATGGACCAACTGTATAGAAATATCTTCCGACAGGCTCCAATGGGTTAGTCAATTTTACTGCAAAGCTGCTAATGCTCACGTTTGTAAGGTAGAAAAGGGAGCCTTCAGTAGTGTCTTGTTAAAACCACCTGCCTTAAAAAGGGGATGGGGAAGAGAATCAGACCTCCTAAGATCTCTCAAAAACAGCTTTGCTGGTGGTATTACCCATTTACCAAAACTAGTGAACTTTGTGTGATTCATTTGCTAAATGTTTGGTAGTGGTCTACCAAAAGATTACCTGAATTTCATGCAGGTTGTTCATCTAATATCCAGACCACAAAAAAAAGCCAAAGCATAAGAGTTTGAAGCTATATTATTTTCAATTTGGAGAACCCAATGTCCCAGTGATAAAACTGCACTGGAGCAGAGCTAGGGTAGCAGCATTAATAAAGGAAGTTTAGAATGTAAGAGAAAACCATTGTTCCAATCGGTGGGTTAGAACTGTTTGTCTTAGCTGAGCCCCATGGGTTCATGGAGGAGGCAAGCCAGGTAGCAGGAAATGGTCCATGCCCTACACACTTGGTCCTCCATGTTCTGTGGATGGGTAACACGTAGAAAGCGGAAGCTGAATGCCTTGTCTGTTAGGCTGCGCAAGCTCAGGACTTGTCTCTTGGCTGTCTCCTGCTGGGCTGTCAGCTCCACAGGTCTTGGCTGCAGGAATGGAGGCAAAGTGGGCAGCCCCTCACCTGCTCCAGCACCAAAGGTTAGAAAGCCACTGGGAGCAGCCAGAGCATAGCCACAAACGGAGTAGCGAGTCCTAGGAACCCAGGGACCATAACTTTTGCCTTGCTTTCTTCCCTGGGCTTCAAAAAAGAGCTCTGCACAATCAAGGACCACCAGGGACATGTCTTGATGGTTGAGTAGCCGCTGTGGCTTGAAGGTGTCTATGTAGTGCTGGCTGTAGGCAACTGGAATCTGTAGGTGTGAGAGAAATATTAATTTGCCTTGGCTGATGACAGAATGAAGAGGGTGAATCTCATTTCAAAGCAAGGTACTTGCCACATGTCTCAGAAAAGAAGCAAACAAATAAAAAAGAGCAGGACCAAAGAGGGAAAGGCTCACAATACAAGAACAGGAGGCCATGACAGCACATAATTGGGAATCCTCAACCTAGCCCCATGTAAGACTTGATATGTAGGGCCAATATATTCCAGGCATCCTCAAATGTCGGTCCTCCAGTTGTTTGGGCCTCCAACTCTCAGACTTCCTGACCATTGAACAAGCTTGCTAGGGTTTCTGGGAATTGTAGGCCCAAACAGCTGGAGGGCCAGTGTTTGAGGATGCCTGAAATATATTGGCCCCACATATCAAGTCTTACATAGGGCTATGTTGCAGTCCAGTTTTTGGACTGCAATGCAGATCCTCATTAGACGAGGATGATAGGATTTACAATCCCCCATCCAGACCTATTTCCCAAACCTTAATGCTGCAGTAACTATCGAGATGTCGGGAAAGCAATTGTGCTTATCCTTGAAAAGATGTGAATCCGTTAATATCGGAAGGCCAGTGCCACTGACAGCATGACTATGACACTGTAGCTGTGTGTCTTCACATAGTTTCTGACTTACAGTGACCTTAAGTACCTATTATATACTCTTATGTGTCTGGATGCTTCACAAAAATGCATCATAAGACAAAACAGTTCACCAACTGTGCTGAAAGGAACTGTATGTGAAAAATAAAAGGAAGAATCTCTGACTACTCACCTGTCTCATCCTCCTCTCCATGATCTCTATCCAACTGAGCCAATAGCGGGAGGCTGTGGATTCTGAGATGTGGAACCGGAAGGCTAGATCCTGGAGAAGTAGGCCCAGACGCAAGCGGACAAGGACCAAAAACAGCTGGTTCTCAGGGCTGAGGGCACTGTGGAGGCTCCTGTCCTGGCTGCCCTGCTCCCTTTCATTATCGAGAAGGAAGGCCATAAAGGCCATAAGGCGGGGGTACTCATCGAAACCTGTGTAGAACCTCAGCCACTTGGCACTGCTTTTGACAGTTTCGAGAGAGAAGGCACCATGGTGGGCCTCAGCCTCCCGCTGCCCTCTCAGCTGCTTGCTCAGCAACAGGACGGTGGCACCATGGGCATCCAGCTCCTTCTGATAGCATTGGCTCGTGGACTCCAGCTGGTCCCTCTCAAAGCGCAGGCTACAGTTCTCTGCCTCAAGCTGTGAGACATGTTCTCTGAGTTCAGAGAGAAGGGTCGAGTTCTCATCTGCCTTCTGTGTGAGAAGGAAAACTTGACATTTGCATTGGGTTATATTGCCATTCCAAGCCCCTCTCCATACTATGTGTTTACCCCTCACCTGTAGTTCCTGACATTCTTTCTGCCTGGCTTCTCCGCCCTGTAGTTTTTGGAGAAGCTCACTCTGGTGGTGCACCGTGTCTTTCAAATCTGTCACAAGGACCTTCAGTGCGGCTGCTTCCCCGGGTATACAATATGCATTGTGATCATGTACAATAGCCATTTAGGAATCACCCAATTCACAAGGAGGTCTGCTGGTGTTTTTCATCTGCTCAGCTACCAAGACCAGGTCACTAAGAGCAAGGGTGCTTTCCACTGTGGAGAGAGAAACCCAAGTGTTTCAGCTGCATTGCTAGAACACGGAATTCATCTTTGAAACCATATCCAGCCTATCTACGGCTGAAGTGGGAGCCTGAATGTAAAACAAATCTGTGTTGCTAGTCCTCATGGAGGTGTCAGAGAGGCAGATACAAGTTGAGTATCCCTTATGGGGAAATCCAAAATACTCTAATATGAAATGTCGACATGGATTGTTGAGATAGTGGCACTTCTGATTTCGACACAGAGCAATGGATTAAAATTGCAGGAAATATATTCCACCAGCATTAGGAAGAACTTGATGGCAAGAGGTGTTTGGCAGTGAAATATGCTGCTTCAAAGTACAGTGGAGCCCCCTTCTGGAGGTTTTCAAGCAGAAGCTGCATGGCCATCTGACAGGAGTGCTTTGATTGTGTGTTCCTGCATGGCAGAATGAGGTTGGGCTAGAAAGCCTGTAGGGCCTCTTCCAGCTCTATGATTCTATGATGGTTCAGTGCATACAAAATTTGTTTGATGTGCTACAACCATAGCAGAATTACCTTTAAGCTCTGTATAATAATAATAATAATAATAATAATAATAATAATAATAATAATAATAATAATAATACACTTTATTTATATTTTGCTCTATCTCCCCAAGGATATGAATATGGATTTTGTGTGTGTGTGTGTGTGTATGTATATATATATATATATATATATATATATATATATATATATATATAAATGAATTTCATGTTAAGGCTCTAGTCCCATCTCCGAAGTATTATGTATGTATATGTAGATATGGGAGGCCCCGGTGGCACATTGGGTTAAAGCGCTGAGCTGCTGAGGTTGTTGATCAAAAGGTTGCAGGTTCGATTCCGGGAAGCGGCATGAGCTTCCGCTGACAGCCCCAGCTTCTGCCAACCTAGCAGTTAAAAAACATGCGAATTTGAGTAGACCAATAGGTACTGCTCTAACGGGAAGATAATGGCATTCCATGCAGTCATGCCAGCCACATGACCTTGGAGGTATCTACGGACAACGCCGGCTCTTTGACTTAGAAATGGAGATGAGCACCACACCCCAGAGTCGGACACGACTGGACTTCATGTCAGAGGACAACATATGCAGATACAAGTATTCCAAAATCTGGGAAAAAAACCTCAGAATACTTTTGGACCCATGCATTTCAGATAAGAGAAACTCAACCTATACCAGCATCAGGTGATTCTTGTGTTAGTAGCAAAGCAACACTTTTCCTCCTTTCTTCCTAGCAGACAGTAGTGGGCAGCAAATCCACACGTTTTTCTCACTGTTGCGGGAGGAGAATCACTGTGTGAAATTTGTTCTTAGGTGGCACCATTTCATGGAGGCTGCTAAAGGGGTGATTCCTGGTAGGACTTGAGATTAATAAATCAGATTACAAACCATGATCTTAATATTGGAAACAACAATTTACATACGCCGACTCTAAACTTCTACAAAGTTAACCTGGAACTTAAGTCTTTGTTTTGTTTTTGGAGGGACAGTAAGTATACAGTATCCTCCTGATGGGGAAAGAAGTGGAGGGTTTGAAGCAGGCATGGGCAAACTTGGGCCCTCCAGATGTTTTGGACTCCAACTCCCACAATTCCTAACAGCCTCAGGACCTTTCTTTTTCCCCCTCAGCCGCTTAAGAGGCTGAGAGGGAAAAAGAAAGGTCCTGAGGCTGTTAGGAATTGTGGGAGTTGGAGTCCAAAACACCTGGAGGGCCCAAGTTTGCTCATACCCGCTTTAAAGTTATATTCATTATTTTAAAATTGGGAAAAATCCAGAATTATAAGCTTTTAAGACTGTATACATTTTTGGGACAACACACACACACACATATGATATAGATAATATAATATAAATTTTATAAATATATAAATTATTTGGGCCATTATTATTATTTAGGGGGGAGATAATGAAAAGGGCTGCCTGGATATACAGAGAGATAATATTCAGTATCTAGGGCAGATTGGCTCAGCCCTTCCACCCAGAGCTCATTCATTACCTGCCAGGAACAGCTATTGCAGCCTCCTCCCCAATCCAATATGGCCACCACTGTGAAAGTGCCCTATCTCTAGCTATAAACACAACTAAAGGAGAGGCAGCGGCAATCTGCATTGCCCTTAACCAAGATGGCAGGACCTTAGATTTCAAAGCAGAACTTCCGCCAGCAATTGGGTCCTTGCTGCTGCGTAAACAGTAAATTTGCTTAGTGCATTCGGCTCACCATATCCACGGATTCTGCATCGATTGATTCAACCATCCAAAGCTTGAAAATATATATATTTTAAAAAATCCAAACAGCGAATCTGTCCTGTGCGATTTTTTTAAAAAAAAATCTTTGTCTGTTGAGGAATCCCGTAAAGCTTCCAGGATGTACTTTGTGCCTCTTTCCAATACATACCATATGTGTATAAGGTGTATATGAAACACAGATAAATGTAGTGTCCCATCTTCAGGATATCTCAATCTGTATAGACAAGTATTGCAAAATCAGAAAAAATTCAAAATACAGAATAATTCTGGTCCCAATTTTAGGGGGTAAGAGATATTCAAATCTGTACCTACATTGATATAACTGAAAATGCATCTCTATGCTATATTTATATTTATTTATTTATTTCTGCATTTGTTGACCGCCGCTCTCAGCCCTGGGGCGACTCGCGGCGGTGTACAACATATTAAAAAACAGTTTACAAAAAGCACACAATACGTCAGCATAACCATATTACACATTAATCTAAATTACACTAACTAATCCGTACCGTCACAAACATAGAATCATAACCAGTCTCATAATCCATATTCCGTTCCCGTTGTCATTACCCGTTAATGTAGCACTCAATTAAATGCCTTCTCGAATAGCCAGGTCTTTAGGCTCTTACGGAAAGCCATAAGGGAGGGCGCCTGTCTGATGTCAACAGGGAGGGTGTTCCACAGCCGGGGGGCCACCACCGAGAAGGCCCTCTCTCTCGTCCCCGCCAGACGTGCCTGTGAGGCAGGCGGGATCGAGAGAAGGGCCTCCCCAGATGATCTCAAGGCCCTCGTGGGCTCATAGGCCGAGATGCGGTCCGAAAGGTATTTTGGGCCGGAACCGTTTAGGGTTTTGTAGGATAACACCAGCACCTTAAATTGGGCCCGGTAGCAGATCGGCAGCCAGTGGAGCTGGGACAACAAGGGCGTTGTGTGCTCCCTGCGTCCCGCTCCCGTTAGTAACATGGCTGCCGCGCGCTGGACTAGCTGAAGCTTCCGGGCCGTCTTCAAGGGCAGCCCCACGTAGAGAGCGTTGCAGTAGTCAAGGCGGGATGTGACCAGAGCGTGTACCACCGTGGCCAAGTCAGACTTCCCAAGGTACGGGCGCAGCTGGCGCACGAGCCTAAGCTGTGCAAATGCTCCCCTGGTCACCGCTGAAACCTGGGGATCCAGGCTCAATGATGAATCCAGGGTCACACCCAAGCTGCGAACCTGCGCCTTCACGGGGAGTGCGACCCCATCCAGCACAGGCTGTAACCCTATACCCTGTTCGGCCTTGCGACTGACCAGGAGTACCTCTGTCTTGTCTGGATTTAATTTCAGTTTGTTCGCCCTCATCCAGACCATTACAGCGGCCAGGCACCGGTTCAGGACCTCGACAGCCTCCTTAGTAGAATTAATGCAGCTGAAGTGGATGCCAGCTTGCAGTAATCCGCCAAAGGAAGCTGAGATACCATAACATTGAAAAACAGACATATTTATGCAGTAAAACCCTTTGAAATTCCCACTCTCGCTCTAGCTGGCGTCAGCTTCACAATGATTGGTTGAGCTTCATCGACGTCACAATCAGCTAAGCAGGATTCCCTGTAGAGGCGGGACTGTGGCACCCACCAGCCAATAGGAAAGTGTTCCCTGCTTCCAATGCAGATTCCCGCTCTCCAATGGCTGATTGGGCGGGGGCCGGGGGGGGGGGGCAGGCAGGGGCTGCTCAATCCATTTTGTAAAATAAGCATTTGCAGTATAGTTATTTTGCCCAGGGGCACTCTTGAGGCGCTCTTGGGGGAAAATAGACCTTGACGTATGCGAGTTGTAGTTACTGGGATGTATAGTTCACCTACAATCAAAGACCATTCTGAACTCCACCAATGATGGAATTGAACCAAATATGGCACACAGAACTCCCACGACAAACAGAAAATATATATCAGTGATTGGTGGGGGGATACCAAAATACTGTTTGCTTACCATTGAAAATTACCTAGGGCCGCCTCTGGGTCCGGGAGACAAAGAAAGTGTAAAGAGTTCTGAATGGATTATTGGGTCCCAGCTGAGGCACAAACGAAAGGTGCCATCAGGTCCCATGTATTTTATTGTGAAGATAATTGTGATATGAGTCTCCAGCAAAGGGGTCCATTGAGTCCAAAAATGGAATACTGTCCATGCTGATGGGATTAAGTAGTTTGTTCCTGGGAAAGGGGAAATGTAATTGTGGAACAACAAGGCATGACCACCCGGTGAATGGATAGTCATGCCAGATGATGAATATTATTGTAATATCCAGGTGATTGAGACAGAACAGGTGACCCTGCGAATGGATTCTGTGATCCTCTGCACAGTCGGGGTTTATGAAGCCAGTAGAGATGGACTGATCCATGGGGGTTGGGTGATTTAGTCCTTCATATGTAGATGATGTCCAGGAAGGCAGTTGGATGGAGTTCCCTGGGCTAGCGAACGGTCAGTCAAAGGTCTCCTGTTCTCCTTTGAAATAATTGCTTGGCTTTTGTATCTCTGTTGTTGTTTATGATGCTTGTTTATTATTGTTTATGATGATGCTGTTCTTATGTTGTTTTAGTATTTTATTGTTCTGTTTTTAATTGTATGTTACCTTGGGCTTGGCCCCATGTAAGCTGCTCCGAGTCCCTTCGGGGAGATGGAGGCGGGGTAGAAAAATAAAGTTGTTGTTGTTGTTGTTCTTCTTCTTCTTCTTCTTTATTTTCACGGACATAACCGCCAGATACCCTAGAAGCACAAAAGGCTTGAGAACAGAGGGGGCATACTTCTC